TGCGAGGAGGCAGGATGGCAAGTGGTTGGTCGGAGCAACTACGTTGGTGGAAAACGAAGAAAGAATGTGGGCTAATTCTCCAAACTGTCAAGAAACGGAGACTGTGGCTAGTGTGGTGGTGGTGGCCCGTTCCCCACCACCACCCAGCAGATAGGCTGTATGTCCGGAGAAGACGCGCACAAGTGCCCCAAGTGCCCCCCAAAAGCCAGCCCGACCTGACCGCCGCATTAGCCTGGCGGTTTGCTTTCACACACTCAAAAAAGTCGGGGTTTGGATCTCGAACATTGTGGGACTTGTCTGAAGCGACCTGCAGCAAGGTCGCTCGGTCGCCTCCGTTTATTGACATTCTATCTCGGCACTCGGGTGCACCTGCTGTCGCTTTTGTCGTCGTAGCCTGCCGTTTGTGTCGACTGTTTTTCTTTTCTTTTCTTTTCTTTCCTTCTCTTTATCCTGCACTGTAGGTAGCCACACACCCCCCCTGTCCTGCCTCCTCATATATTTGGGACAAAACAGCAGACCGACATACGGGGGAGGAGGGGATGTCGTCACACTGAATCACAAGGCCGCTGCTTGTTCCCGTCCTCAAGGCGACTCCGAGGTCCTGTACCCTGCGCGAGAGCGAGTTATTTTGGAGGGGGTTTTTCTTCTTTCTTCTTCCTGTTTCCTGTCGAATCGCTGGCGACCGAGGCCCGAATAGGAAGCATCCCCCTCATTGAAACGCAGCGGTCGTGCGTCTCGCGTCCTCCCTACTCCCTCCTCCTCCGCCTTCCCACATGCAAGTCCAGCTCCTGCCGGACTCCAATAGTTTTCCGGATTCCGCAAGTTTCCCGTGCGCGACATCCAATCAGCCCGCGCGAGAGAGAGGGGGGGTGTGCGACTGGGCGAGCTCCCTTTGCCTTGTAGGGCTGTGCGGCTTCTGTTTTGTTTCTCGTTAGTTCCCCATATCTTGATAAGCGCGGGAATTCCACACGCACGCGCAGAGGACCAACACCAGCCATGCAGACATGCGGGACAGCAATTGATGGAAGTATCGGGGTTGCGAGCAGGCTAGATCAAGCCGAATTGAGATAACAATGATTGCATCCTGGCTCTTTTCTTTTGCCCTATTTCCGCTTGGTTCAAACGAGGAGGATGCGCGGTAATGCCGAAACATTTCGCGGGACGTCCAGTGACGCCGCAGGGACGGGCCCAACTGCCATTTGCCTAAAAAAGCCCACTTACCCAACGCCAGTTACACTAAACTTTTGGCCGATCCCCATTTAACCCAGGCTAAACCATAACAATCCTGCCGCATCCACAAGACATGTTCGGCGCCGTGTTTATTCGGCGGCCCAAAACATGGTGTCGGCATGCAAGTCATGCTGGCGGCCGTCATGGTGGAGGGGTGTGCTGTTTCCAGGTCTTTGTGTGGTGGCAGAGCCGCGTCTGGTTTACACACCGCCAACGCAGGAATCCCCATATGCGGTGGAAGCTCTCGAACACAGACACACATGGAAGCTTTGCTTGGAAGCCCTTCTGGCGGTGAAGCTATCAGTTTCAAAGACAAAGTGGCCGGCAAGCAGCAGCAGCAGCGAGGCGGTGCACAAGGCATCATCAGCCTTAATTGTGGATACGTCGTGAGCCTGCAGCTTGCAAAGCTGTGAGGAGAAGCAGCAGCAGCGCCGTCCAGCTCCGGGTGCGCGTATGAGAGGGGGGTGTGTACGTGCGCCGCCAATCCGTCCGGTGGACAAGCCCCTTCAGCCAGCCATCCTTACACACACATTGATTTTCTGAGGGGAGCGCGCACATCAACGGCAAGGCCGCCCCGAGAAGGTGGAACCGTAATGACGGCGGGGGAAAGCTCGATGCAGGGCAATCTAATCTGGCCCTCAAAGTCCGCGTACCCATCCATCTCTACGATACGTTACAGGATAGAGCACGACAGAGATGGGCAAATGCGACCGGGTTGCGGATACACCGCGCCCCAGAGACTTGGTTGACCAGGTGGTAATCGAAATCAGGGCTATCGCGGGACAAATTAACACGGATTCGCAAGGCGAGTCCGAATTGTAAGGGAAGACAGGCATTGTGTTGCACGGCAATTTTTGCTTTCATGCGTGGCGGGGAATTCTCTGTGGTCATAATGTTGATCTTGTTGATCTTGTTGGGGAAGTGAGGGCGGAGACGAACCCCTGCCTGCGCGCGCGTGCGTGTTTGCATCTGTGATGGCAGAGCCAAAGCGAAAGCCAGCACAGCTCCACGACCCCCTGACCGGTCTTACACACACACAACGGCGGCGCGGGCTGCCGGCCGCCAAGACAACTGTCCCGCGTGCTGGGCAGCTCCCCCTCCCCACCCCATTTTCGGGGTCGCCGGACTCGGCGGCTGCGGGCGTGATTGGCTGGGGCCGCGACCTTGTACCTCCTGCTCCGTTCCATAGGGCTGAAGGACCCACATACCCACATGGTCCTTAAAGAATGGGGCAAGGCGGGCGCGAGCTCCAAAGGCCCGGTTCCGAGCGGGAGACAAGGGGACGTGGTAGCGCTAGACCGCTTGCGGCAAGGTCACCACCCACCACCCAGAGCTTGTGTGGGCCCGCCCAGTCCTGCATGGGAAGGTGGGTACGGCTTCCAAGGGGTGCCTGTGGCAGCAGGGCAGCACAGCCGGACTGTAGTTACTATCCACAGATATTGCCTGCCAGTTTCTGGCTATTGCGTCGATATGATTCATAAAGCTGGGGCCGGGTTAAAAAGAGACCAAGTACGGATCGCGAGCCGGCCAGATGCGAGATGGAGATGAGCAAACCCGAGCTTTGCGTCCTTTTTGTCTGCCTGGCCTCCCGCGGTTGTCGACGCGAACGACTTAAATTAGCTGCAGCGCAACGTTGAACTGCAGCATCCCATTTTGCCCAATTAGCATCCGCTCTGTGGGGGTGTGGGGCCGCTGTCGTGCTCCCTGAACCCCGGAGGTGTGACTGTGATACCCGAGACAGGCCCTGGATCTAGAGAAACATATTAAAAACCTGCATCGACATGGACTGGGTTGCATGCGTAGGGACATGATAGTTAAAAGGGCTAATTTCTGCCAGGTCGGCTGTGTCCTTTTTATATATTTGATATTTTTTCGTTATGAGTTCGTTTTTCCGTCAAGGTGCGTTTGTCCATGTATAGCTTGCCAGTGTAATACATCTCCCCTAGTTTACAATTCTACTTCATGCTCGAAAAAAAAAAAAACACAATTCCCATACCAGCGCATATGAGTAAGCGTAAAGCTGCTATGCCCAGCTGGAAAAGGCTTGGGCGAAATGGATGGCTGCCTAGCTCAAGCGGCCGAATGTTCCTGGCGGGAAAACGGTGGGCCCCACCCGAATGGGTTAATACAAGCGACGATGGCACGATGGGTGCCAGTCCCGCGCCTGTGACCCCGCATGCCCGGGGCTGAGGTTGCAATGCTGTTCGTGGAAAGGCGTCTAGCACTTCCACCGTGAAGAAACCCACAAATGTCCATCTGCATCTCTGAAGCAAAAGAACCGTGCTAAATTTGTAAGCTTCCCTGCCCTAAAGCACGAATATCGTTGGCCTGTTCGGACTCCTGAACACACACGATAACGTCACCATGAGAATGAATGTATTTTGTCATTGTTTCTTTTTATGCTCTTCCGGCTAATGACCCCCCCGCCCCTAGGGCGACCTTGAGCATGAGGTCGAGACCCGAGCACACTCGATACTGTCAGGCGAACCTTTTGACGTCGTGGAACTGTGCCGGTTCTCTGCGGCTTTGGGGTCGACGTCAAGCAATATTTCGTCAGGGGGGCTGCGTCGGGTTACGGCGCACACGGGAAAGGAGACCTGCATCGTATGCAGCGCAGCCACACCCACCGTTTGGAGGTGGACCGGGCAGGTACCGCGCTGTTTGTTGTTTTTACAGCGGCAAACAGACCCTGTGCTAGCCTGCCCATGTGGCTCATCACAAGAGAGAAGCAGCCGGCACTAGGCCTCTCCCCCCGGGGAACACAAACGCGGTGCGAGGGGTGGTGGCATCGACGGGTGCAAAGCAAAAACAAAAAAAACAAAAAAAAACAAAAAACAGCATAGGGCAATCACAGGGCGCAACGCACCCAAGGGACCATCACGGAGCGGCCGAGGTTTGGTGCTGCTCGAGGCGGCACGAGGTAGTGCCGGCCTTTCTTGGTGCGTCGGACGGGCATGAGAAGCGCCGAGACGATCAACTGCGGAATGACGCTATTCGGGACGTGATGGGCCACGATAACACCCCCCTACCCAGAGACTGACACTGCCGAGAAGATTGGGCACTGGAACCGGCTCGTTCTTGCCTTCCGCCCCGGAGCCCCACAACTAGGTACTTCTCGAGGAAGCTCGCTGCCAGTAGGTGTGTGTGTGGCACGTAGTATCGTTGCCCGTGCTATCTGGGCTAAACATTTCGTCGTGCAAGGCCGGCAGCAAAAAGCCCAAGTCGGGACCGGATCCGGACGGGCCAGGATCGCAATGCTTGGCGTTGTGGAGAGCCGACAGATAGGCGGGCTAGGGATTTGCGTCTGCCAGCGCGTGGACGGGCAGGTCGTGCCCTTTCTTCAGGCTGCGCCTCGCCCTAATTTCCTGCCATGGGTGCGGCAACCACCCATGACGAGCGAGAGGGGGAAGGGGGCTCCACAAAAAGCGTTGTGCGGACGAGCAAGCGACAAAAAGGGCGCCCAGGTCCCACCGGCCGAACCCCTGCTCCCCGCCCTTTCGCCCTTTGCCATCCCGCTACTTCTTGGTGCGCCTGGCTCCAACACCAGCAAAGAAAGGCGGGCGACTTGTCGGCCAGGGCCCCGGCCACTCCCACGCACGTCCGCACTTGGCTGCTCCCCCCAATCAATGTCGCAAACTGGCCGCATGACCCATGACCCTCTCCTGTGGTTCCCACCTCTTTGCACCTTAGGGCCTGATGCACGAGGCGGCAAGATGCGTGCTGAGTGCGTAATTTCCCGTGCCCTCCCCTTTCTTGTCCTGCAGCCTGTCCTAGCCCAGCAGTAGCGGCGACGACAGCAGCAGCCCTGGGTCTTGGCCGGTCGTGGTGTCGCCGCCAGGCCCAAAGAGGAGCTATGACGAAGGCGGCCTGTCACCATTCGCGTCCCGACAATCGACAACCCACAACCCACAACCCACAACCCACAAACCCAAGCCAACACTCCTGTCCCCCTGCCCGCTCGCGTCGTGCAAATGGCGGTAAAATCGACAAAGGAACAACAAGCTACCTACATCCATACCTCCCTACCTACCGACCTGCCGCCTATGCGCACACCTCCTGCCGCGTCCGATGCACAGGTCCCATCGGCTAGGCATCAACAATATCCAGTCTGCTATACGGCGCGAGCATGCTGGCGCACCGCTTCTCCCGACGCCGACATGTACCCGGCGAGAATACGGGCTGCAACGTCGCAGAGGCCAAAGCCGACGGGAATCGAGCTCGACTGGGCCACGGTCGTTAGTCCGAACGGGCCTATCAGAAGCTCCCTTTTCCCTCCCCTCCCTACTACCCTACCCTACCATCTTCCCACACACCCCGGCTCGCGGAGAGGCGGCGGGGCCTTGCGGTAGATCTGCGGGCACCAGCCTGTCTGAGACGAAACTTGGCATCCTCAGGCCTCGCGATTGTCTGTTTTGACTGCCGTCCAGTCCAGCCACCGGCCTTGCTGTTTTCGTGCTGGCTGTTTGATGCCCGCCAGCGTTCATTTCCCACAACCCTGTGCTGAAGCATCCCGCCCGCAAGTTCGGGCAGGAATATGGCGGCCTTGGTCAAGCGAGATGGTCAAACCCTGAAAGATATGTCTCGATTCGGACGAAGCCGTGCCGGCCTGCTCGCGGACTGGGTGGACTGGGTGGACTCATCTCCACGTCGGATCGACGGATAGAAGGCAGGCACTGCAGGCCAGTCCTTGACCAACAAGGCCCTCGTCCTTCCTCCTGGAATCGGGCTGTCCACCAAGCCAAGTCTCCTTGACCGGACTCTCGCTTATCCTGGCCAATCACGCGGCTTGCCTTCCCGTGGACAGCCCGTCCACCTCTACGCTTGGTAAATGAGGGCCATGTCGGGCTCTGACCCCTCCGGCTCCCGCGCGCGATCCCATCGGGCGTGACCAGTATCTTGGCTCATAGCCTTGTTATGGCGTCGCCGGCGCCTCACTCTAGAGCCGACCGGCCTATCAATCACCCAGCGGGTTTACCAATGCCGCTCCCGAGGCGCTCCTTTTAACGGCCCCCAATCTCTCATCTCGCATTCTACTCCAGGCTCGGGTTTTGGGATCCCACACAGCAAAATCACTTATACCCGTATCCAGCAAGGCGGCCAGCCCAAGCAGAAAAGGGCCGGTTCTGCTGCGTTGGCCCCAGTCGCCGAGGTCCTCATTCTGGATATGGCCCGATCCTGACCTTGAATTTGCGCGCCGCACCCGAGCTGGCGCAGCCAATGAAGCTTCCTCCATGCCCTGCCGACCGGTGATAGGGTCGGTTGTCCGTTGCTGTGCCCCAGCCGCAGTCGCAAGACTTTCTGGAAGCAGACCGTTTCCCGTTGCAAAGGCGCTAGGGATGCTTCACTTCTGTGCATGCCCATTGGCCCTGTAGGGCTGCTGCGATGCAAGCGACTGTGCCGGGTGACCTTGGACGGACGTCTGCGCGTGGCCGGCTGAATACTGGCCTCACCCATGGCACGTCCGCATTCGAGGGCCACGGCACCCGATCTACCCCTCCAATGTTTATTACCTGTCCTGTGTCGCCCCGGGCGCCGATTTTCGCATTCCTCGGTCTGAATGCCGTCTCTGGATACCGACTCACGGTGCTGAGCCTGCCTGCACTCGAGGTGCAGGACTGGGGTAAAGTACCCACCCTGTTGCGGCCGATGGCGATGCCATCTGGTCGCTTAACCTGACCGTTTCTGATCCGTTGGAGGGTTCCATGCGGCCCTCTGGAAGTCCACCGGACATGGATGGGGGATTATTGTCCTGAACCAGAAGCCCATCTTGTGGATAGACCGGCGTCGAGCTGAAAAGACGAACCCCACACGAGAAAGGGTCCCCTGCCCCTCACGCAGTGCCTGACACCCTCACTTCGGCGACCTTGATGGGGCTGGGTGCATCGGTATGGGCTGTTTAGATTTCCTCCCTTGGGATTTCTGCAATGTCGTGCGCCTTTTTTCTCTTTTCTCCCCATGTTGCACCAATCAAAGGGACTGGACGAGAAGCCGGCCACCCACCTTGCGCCGCCCCCGATTATCGTACCCTGCAGGGACTCTCTCGCCTATGGACGCAACCCGACGCCGCGCAGCAAGTCGACCCCTCAAGGAGGCTGAGTCTCCCTTGTCATGGCTGGCCCCATGGTGCTGCGTGTCGGTGCTTCTTACGGGAAGAAAGCAACGAGAGGGCACGCTGCAGAGCAACATTGAATCCCCGCCTGTTTTTTTTTCTTCTGCTTTTCGCCGAAGCTAGACTTATTGTTTCTGCACATCCACCTCGGCCCCTCCCAGTATCGTCGCCCATGCAAAGCTTCGGGGCGATCTGGCGACGGCGCAGATTACCTCCCGACATGTCGCGGATGGGAGAGGGGAGAGACACAATTGCTGCGATTGCTCATGGCTAGCAGCAGTCTGCAGCATGTCAGAATAGGGCGTTGCTGTAGCGCTGCGTGGCGCCGAATACCACAGCATCCTCGCTGCCCGCTCTTCGGCAGGCTGCTGCAAGTGCCTCCAAACGAACAGACCGCTTGATGAAGATTGCCCTATGACCACCACCGATTCTGGCCCCCGACCCATAGATATTGGAGGCCGTTGAGGGCTTATTGGAAGGGAACATGAGTGTGTCCTTGTTTTTTTCCCTTGTAAGAACCCTATTTGAACCCATCGGGCGGGTGTGTGCGTGCATGGGAGGGAGGGCTTATGCGCGCGTGCCCTTGACCGCCCTTACCTCTTCAAGAATCTCATAGGGCTGAAGGCGGCGGGAGGCCCAGATCTGACGGGAAATCGACCAAGGTGTCTGACTGCTCAGCATCTTGGCGTCGAGCAAGAAAACTGGACGAGGCACACACACTGCACGCCCACACTTCACACTCACGCACCCATGGCGAGCACCCGCACCCGCACACGACACGACAAGGAAGCTTGAAAGGTCCAGAGAAGAAGGCATGGCGAAGACCAGACGCCGTATCTGCGTGGCCCCCAGGCCCTGTGTGTGAGCATGAGTGTCTGTTATCACCGCTCGCCCAGGGGGTGGGGTGATGCAGTCAGACGGCTGTTGATGAGCTAGCTGCTGGAGGCCATGACCGACGACACCTTCTGATCCACCTTATCGCCTGTGGTCATGGCCGTGGACGAGGCGACATAGCCGCAATCTGCTCGTGCGCAGCGCGGTGGAGTCCTTTGCCTCTCTTGCTTTGCTTTGCTTGATCTCTTTGCGCATCCGGTGGACCCCTTTGGCCAGTCTTGTCTTGTCGCCTCGTCGTCCCATGTATCTGCCGCCCACCCGGAACATGCATGCTTCCGTCCGTTTGCCATTGGCGTCCGCCTCTCCCCCTGTCCCGTCCTGCCGCGCCGTGGTTCCCTAGAGAAATTGTTTGGTGATGCAGATGTGTGGAAACCGACTAGCAGGTTGGGTCCCGCCTGTGAGCCCAAGGTAGATGCGACATGGACCGGCTGGACGGGCGTCTTTTGAAACCCACACAACACCTGCACACACACACCCCCCCTCGCACTCCTTCTTTGGTCCAGCAAGCCCAGGTCAAAGAGGAGAAGAAGGAACGCCAGAGCAGTAAACGTGCACACCCCCACCAGAACGGCGAAAACAAGGGCGCCCGTGGGGAGAGAAGCTCGCGCTGAGCCGGTGGGACTCGCTCGGGGACCGTCGGCGGATCCTGATGGTCCATTCGGCGGCCTCCCCATCCGTCTTTCAGCGCTCCATCGCCCATCTCCGTGGCGGGCGGCTTTCCTACCCGGCAGGCGGCGCGACGACGAGCTAGAAGGGACTTTTGCCTAAGCAGACAGGGGGATAGCGAGAGGGGGTCCCCGCGCGCGCACAAGGTAGTCGGCAAGATGGAGAACGGGGGCGAGGTGCAGCGAATGCCGCGTTGTCAAAGGTGAACACCTCGCTTCTTGGAGGGATTCCGTGTTTATTCCTCCGTCCGTCCATCCATCATTCATCGAGCGTGCGCGCATAGCCTCATCCTCCTCCTCCTACTTCCCAGCCCACATCTCCCACCCCCAGGGCATACACGCGCGCACTGCTATACCCTCCCGTAAAGCGCTATATCCACACAAAAACTGGCCCAGCCTTGGGAACAGCGACAAGGGTTAGGCTCTGTCTCGTGTCCCACATCACACACCACCTCCCCACACACACACAACACCCCACGCTCTACTCGATACGTTACGAGCAATATGTACGGCAAGGCGCCAGTGTGGGTCCCCGAGGAGGGACTCTAGGCAACCGCATTTCTGCTCTTCCCAGTACCCCGTAAACAGAGAGCCCCCAGCTGTGTAATGCCCGAAAGAAACAACAAGCCAAGCTCCGTCCCGGCCGGGGAGAAGGGAAAAAAAGAAGGAAACAATCGCGTGGTGCCCAGACAGCCGAGGCCAAACCACGCCCGGATCGATCCCCTGTCGACCTGATGGGTGGAGACCAATGTATGCATCTTCACTGGCAGGACGGAACCGACGGGCGACTACATCATCCGAAATCCCATGGATTTTGTCTAGTTTCCAGCTACCTGCGTACATACGGGGCGTACAGACACTTAAAAACGCTGCGGGTGGCTGGGGGACTTCATCTCAAGCTGGTGACGTTTGGCCTTGGCAAGGGGGGGGGGCCGGCCGAGGGAGCAGATACTCGACCGAGGACCACCGCGCCCCCGGAACCCGTCACCAGCAAAGGCCACCTCTAATACGCTTTCCATTCTACCCCTTCCGATGTCGGCTCGCTTTGCCACACGATGTCTATGCCCCTGCGTCAGGGCGGCGAGCCTGGGGGGAACCCAAGCCGCTAGTGTTCTGTTGGTTTGTGCTCTCTCCTTTTCTCGTGGCAGGTATTCAGTCCCCTCGTAGGCCAGGGGGAGGCCACAAAGAGTCGTGCTGGGCCCTGATTCAGTCGAAGCTCTCAACAGCTGAGCAGCAAAAAGACGGTGCTGCCCTCTCGCACGTTGTAGGTCCGTAGCGGCTCGTCAAACTGCATCACCCTGGCCTCGTGCACGAGCCGCTGCCGGTGTTGGGGGACGTTCATGTTGGCCTCGATCTCCATCATGAGGGCCGAGACGGTCCAGTTCAGGTTGACCTCGAACGTCTGGATCTCGTCTTCCGCCACTCCTGGAGAGGAAAAAAGGCTTGGTTAGCATGTCACTCTCACTCGCACACACACACACACACACACACTCTCTCTCTCTCTCTCTCTCTCTCTCTCTCTCTCTCTCTACTACGTACGTA